CTTGTTCTATTTTCTTCAAAAGGTTGCAATTAAATTAGAAAAAAAAGATAAATGGCAATTCTGTTCTATTCTTTCTCGATTCAAGTAATATCGTAATATCGATATAGATGTATTTTTCACACCCTATGGCTTGCTGGTAGAAGTGTTAGGATATTAGGATAATAGAAGACTCGCTTTTGAACCCAGACTCTGCAGCTTATTAGCCATATAATCCTGGGCAAGTTTAATGACTCCCTGAACCAAAGCTGGCTGCACTACAAAATATGACTCTCTTCTCAGACTGTACTACTGCAAGACTAGTTTGAGGTCAAATAACATTATGTATATGAAAGCATTTAAAAAATTGTCTTATCATAAAATTTAAGGTCTATTTATCCTTCATGCAAAACTCCTGAACAATAATAACATTCTATAAATACGATGTATACATATTTCCTAATATCAGAAAGTAAAAATTTTCCTCTTTGGGAAATTAACATCAGTTAGAAAAATTCAAATTAAAAAAAATGTTTGAGGAATTTTTGTAATGGTTTTATGGAGATTTCATCATGTGACAATACTGAAATACATCAAGGCAAATTATGCATCATTCTATCGTTTTAGAAAGGAACAAACCATAGGTATATGACTCATCTTTGTCATTAATCTCACAATGGAAAATTAAGAGGAAGAAAGAATTTTATAAAACTAAATTGTTTCAAATCAATACAGAATCTTGCCATCAATTACAAATAAGGAAACCTAATAAGAATCACAGAAGAGTCATGTCACTTATTTTCCTAAAAATAATAAATAGCCAACAGTATTTAATTCTAATGTATCTTTACTAACAACTATGCAGGAGGTAAAACCATCAGAATTTTGTTTTCAGCATGTTTAAGATTATTATATCAGCCATGTAAACTCTTATAATGTCTTTATATGGCTTCATGTCCCTGAAAGGAACATGTACTATGTTTAAACATTTTTTAATCAAAGACAACATATTAATATTTACTACCATTATATTCAAGGAGGTTTTATTAAGTAACTGGTATATAAGGCAGTGAGGAAGCCTGCAAAGCCTGCTGGGTACAGTGCCACATTTCCAATGTATTTAGATTAACTAGACAACTATATTTTACAACCAACCTACTTTTATAAGTGGCAGTCATCTTGTATATTTAGAGTTGACAAGTAAACCAACCACAAACAGAACTAATACTCAACTTGAAAAAAGAACAACTTTTCACCATCACCAGGATAAAGCTGGAATCCAGTCTTCAGTCTATTTGTGATTGCTATAACTTTCCAACCATAATCTTTTAAACCACTGAATTAACAGATTTTTGAGAGAAAAGAAAGAAAAATGCATCATTAAACAATGAAATTATGGATCACCTGGTCCTTTCTATTTAAGTTTTTAAAAATCGAAAAATTCCATAAAATTCATTTATTTCACCAAAGTGAAAATACATGAGTAACTGGTCTGTTTTATGCATTTCCTATTTCTCCTTTGAAAGTTAGATAGCTAATTTCAGAAGCTGAATATCTGCAATTTATTTTGTAAAGTGATGCCTTTTTAAAGGACTGATACCTTAACAGATTTCTAATGTAACTATATTTAACTAACTAATAATTTCAACCTCTCAAGTATTTTTATCTTTTAGAAAACTTGTTGACAAACTACTTCAGTATTGTGGTTTTAACTTTTCGTCAAATTTAATATACATAATCCTCAAAAAAAACTGTATTCATTAACTATTAGAAAAATATAAGAAAACAGCCTACATTCACGTTGTCTCAAACAGTTTGCAAAGGATATATCCTATTGCACTAGCATGTTTGTTTACAAAGATAGCTATTTTTGGTCAGTTGAATGTTTTATTAAAGAACATTGACCATATTGAATTTATTTTTAAAATATCATTTTTTTCTATTCCCCATATGTTAGATAGATCACAGCAAAGAAATGTGTACCTTTAATGAAATTTTGAAATTTTAATATTTGATCTATAAATTATACCTATTTTTTATTAAAATAGGTCATAATTTTATATTATCTGTATTCCTATCATTTCAGTTTTATATTGAAGGGTGACTTTTCAACAATGTGAATAGTTAGAATAGAAAAATAATACTTGAATTTAATCTTGCACAAATATTGTTAAAAATAAAATAAAACTAAAATTATTTTTCCTCCATCACAAACTTGGGATTTATATCAAAAGTGGTGAATTTGAGTTAATCAGGCTTAGACTTGATACACAGAATGCTTAGATGGCCCAAAGTAATCTTAGAGGGCTAAATTAATTTCCAGGCAGAAGAACCCACATTAAATTATACCTGTCTAATAGATGACCAATAATTTTATTATTAATATATTTTAGGGGTTTGATTATACATTCCATAAAATAAACATATCCTTTTTAATGATCTTTATTCACAGACAGACAAGATCCTGCAGTTTTAAAAGAATCCACTGCAGGAAAATCAGAATTCAAATAAACTTAACCAATCACATATTATACCTTTATATTTAATCCAGCATGAAAAATTTAAAACTCCACTCTGTATCACCGTGAGGAATAACTCCTATGGTAATTCTTCAGAATATTATTTTCATCCTTTTGTACCCAAAGGCATAAAGCTTCATATATAAGTTTGTCTCATACTTATTGCTTATGCTTCACCATTAACTAAACTGGAAAATCACGTAGAATATCCTCTCAGTCAGCCCATTCATCAAACACAGTCACCTGACCCATGCTCTCTGATCATTGATTTTCCCCAAACTCAGCTTAGGTTTGCCTTATGGACATTCAGCATACTCATCCCCCTCCAAAAAATTCATTTTCTTTACTAAAAAATATTTTTGTGTGTCCTTAATTATAATCTGTATTTTTAAATTATTTTAAATATGTACATAAAATCAATTAATGTGATTATAGAAAAATATGATATCACTAACATTGTGTTAAATGTGGATTCCAAATACGCAAATTTAAAGTTTACTTAGTTTCAATTTTCTCCGTCTTAAACATGAAAGAATACCATATTATTTATATTTTATAACTTTTTCATTCTGTGTGCAGCTTCCTATCAATTTCTCATGCTTACAGGTACTTTAAGAGTAACACTTAATTATCCTGAGTGAGATCATCAAATGATAGGGAGGAAGAAAGTATTAGTACTTTGCAGTTTATATAGCTGAATGTCATGATCCAAACTCTAGAATATTTAAGAACTTAATTTGTAAAAATAAAACTAATAAATCTGAAACTTTTTAAAAAGTCTTTCAAAATTTAATAGCAAGAATTAAAATTTTAATTAGTAATTTATTGTTGATGAAGTACCTTCACATATACTTGGATCATAAATTATTTTTAAAGTTATTAATATTTTGTTCACAGAATCTCAGGAGAGATTAGAACAAGTTTTAAATAAATACATAATATTTACATACAAAGTAGGATGTTTTATACCTAAAACTATTAGAAATGCTGACAGTCCTTTCAAACTTGGAACACAAAACTAGTAACTTAAACAACTTGCAAAAATGACCACCCACAAAAACAACTCTAATTTATGTGCATTTATGCTTGAAAACAACTCCCTCCTGCTCTAATATGATATTGATTTTATCACTAAATACCAAGTTATTTTTTAATTAAGTAGTGTTCATAGGAAATATAACATTCCTGCAAAACAATACATGTTTCAGTTTCCAAAAATGTCAAATGCTTTGACAGTCTTTTGAAATCAATTTCTAAAATAAATTAATGTTTAGATGCCAAATATTAAGGACAATTGATCATATTATTAGATGAATTAATAAATATGAATTAAAATAAATTAATGAAAGAGGTATCCTCCAAACATTTAAAAACTGTTTTCAATTTCACTTATTTAGTTGGTACATTTTCTTGCACTGAGAGAGCTTTTAAAATTAAAATATGCTTAACTTACTATAATAAAATACAATATGATTGAATATTTATTACTCTTGTGCAAAATTTTGTGTAGAAACTATTCCTAAATGTCTTATGTAATTTGTAACAATTATCTTAATGCGTAAATTTTGAGCAGTAGTAAATTAGTATGTAAAGCTGAAGAGATATTTGAAACATGTATTTCCTTCAAAAGTGAAAATGCAAGATAAATGGTATATTAACTGATCATACTTTAGTGAATTTTCAAGTAATCTACAGTTGATTGTATTTTTTTACATTAAGTTAGACAGTACTGGGGGGGGAGGGAACCCTGTTCAACTGCTTCCTTATAGCATTAGGTGAGGTCACCCACTAAAGTTTCATTGTGTGGGGTAATAGATCCAGCTGCACGGATCTGTGAATTCAGGTGGATTAGAGACTAACATGATTTGGCACCAAGGTAAGGATTCATGGAGTCATATCCACAGGATATATGCATTACGTGACAGTAAGAGACATTTACAACCCAGAATATAAGAGTGGGACAGCCTCAAGTGACATCACCAGATCATCTGCAGCGTAAGCCACCGACTAGAATATATGTCCTCCACACCAGCGCTTCCCTCTCTCTCACTGTTGGCAAACCTTCCACAGCTTCCATCAGTGTACGAGAGCATGTGTCTGTCTACCTTAAAAGCCAGACATACAGCTTACTCAAGTGAAAAGCAAATAAGAAAAACCGAAGGAACAGAATCCAAATTAGACTGAGTACGATTTTCAGGGACTTGACATTTCAGGTGACTGAAATGTTAAAGGAGAAATTAACTTGAATTATCCAGATGAGAAATGAAAAAAAGGAAAAGGAAGGAAGGAAGGAAGGGAGGAAGGGAGGAAGGAAAAAGAAAGAAACCATCTGAATAGCTCAGGACTAAATCTTGTTTTTAACTCTGATTTGCTCTGGAACCAGCCATGTGTGGGGAGCTTAAATTTCTTTCTAAAAAAAATTAATATTAATAATAAAGAGGAAAGGCACTCTCGTGCCTCATTCTAGTTCTCTTCTAATTTTTCCGCAATTTATGTTTTACTTACAAGCATTTGTCACAGCAAAACTGTTGGCTGTCTCAATGTTGTCCACATGAGGTACCAAATTAAAAGGCGCTTCCGACGCATTGGGGCTGGTGTTATGAAGAAAAATCGCTAATCGGAAAGCAGTGTACTCCTGATCTGTGTTTCGGATGAAGAGACCACCTATGAAACAGAACAGGAGAAGCACATTCAGTGTTTTCTCTGGTCAATGCGATTCTCACCCCACACACTGTCAAATCCACTGCCACTCCCCAGCACACGCATCCCAGGGGCTACCCCTGCCCCATCTTGGGAGACTGGCCTTTGTCCCTAAGGTGCAGGCTCCGTATTTTAGTCTTCAGGACAGCTCAGCTGTTTCCTGTCCCCATTTGTCATGATCACAATGACCTCTGAGACCATTTACTGTGTTTGCCTTTTCTCTCCCCCCCGCCCCGCGGTTCCCAGCACACCGCTCCACCAGCCAGCTCCGGGCATTTCTCTGGAAGATGCGTGCAGAGGAACCGAAAGGAGGATTTGCATGAAAATGCAGACATGAAGGGATGCGGTGCCACGCAGGCAGGCACGCGGGGAATCGGGAAGGAGACGTGAACTTAGTTTTCCTGCAGCTGGTGGGCTCAGCCTCATTAGCTCCGTTTTGTGCACAGTCCACGAGAAATGATGCAGTGTTGAGGCTGGGCTTTGGCTGGAAGAAATTCAATAGCTGCATCCCATTAAGACAGGCGAGGAGAATAGCAAGAAAAGCCAAAGATGGATAGCTCCCCGGAAATAGAGTCTGGGTGCAGGAATAGGGGCAAAAGATTCAAGAGGAAAACAGAATGCACGGGAGGAAGATTGCGGGAAAGGGATCTAACTTTGGAATCGGTTTGCCGGTGGCAAGCAAAGGCCGGGGTGCAGGTGTAAAGCTCCCCCCACCCCCTTCCCCGACCCCCACAGTAATGTCTTTCTACGATAGGGAGAAGGCTGCCTGCGGCGCCCAGCGTGGGAAGAAGTGTATTAAAACAAAACAAAACAAAACAAAACAAAAACTCGACATCCCCCCATGCTCTAGAGAAACGGATGAAAAGAAACATCACGTAAAATGTAACCAAAGCCCGTGTAGGTCATTTTCAACTTATTCCCATCCTACTTAAGCGACTTGAACCCAAGGTGGAGACGGGGAGCCTGTGCTGAGGCCGGCAAGGGGGCAGTTCTGTGTGTTCTCCAAACGAACCTGCACTCGAGGGCCGGTCCGTTCTGTGTGTGCCAAGGGGAGAAAAGAGAGAAACAAAGGGGCCGGGGGCGGCCGAGGGAGGGTGGCCCCGATGGCTCATCCGCAACTCACGGAACTCACTTCGGGGGATCGGCCCCCGCCGCCCGCCTGCACACCCGCTCGGGGCTGAGCTCACCTATTTGCACGCTGCTCGGAAAGGCTCCCATGGCGAGTCCCCAGAATCCAGAAAATAACAAGACAAGCTGCCTGCAATTAATCCTCATCTTCCTTTCTCCTCTCCTCGGCGCGCGCTCTCTTTTCGCACTCTTCCTCCAGGCTGCTCAGACCGGCATTGACGACGAGGGCGCTAAAATTAAAAGCAACTAAAAAAAAAAAGAAAAGAAAAGGAAGAAAAAAAAACAAAATAGGAGAGAAGAGGTGTGGGTGGTTTGACTCGGACTCCTTCCCGTCAGCAGTCCATCGCGGGCTGCCAGCGCTTGCCCGCAGTCTCCATCGCCCGCGGAGAGGCTGCCGTCCGGCTGCAGAGGCGGCACATGCAGAAGATGGTGGTGGCGCGGCTCGCGGCGCCGGCGGGCGGAGG